AAGAAATGGAAATCAGTTAATGGTGATGGTTTTTGTTGCAAACATGTTGAATTTGAGATAGCAATAGACGTCCAAAAAGTTTTGAAAATGCAGTAAATCCTAAATTTGGGGGAAGGCAATCAGGAATGGAGGCAAAAATTGTGAGTATCCCATAGAGGTCTTCACTTAAGGCATGAAAAGCAGATGGAAGTTCTAAGAGCAGGGTGAAGAAGGAAAACCACAGAAGATCCAAGACAGCCCCCAAGACGCTCACCTTTAGAGACCCTGCAAAGAGAGGCGAGGCTGGGAATTCCCAGAGCAGGATGGCGGGAGGAGAACCAGCCCGCCGAGAGCTCATCTGCCAATCTTACATGTCTTCCTACCCTCTTGTGGTTGATTCATCACCATTTTCTACAGCAGGTCTCTTCTGAATCTTGCCCATGTATCAGATCGGTTAGGCCAAATGGCCACCATTTAATTTCTTACAGCTGGGCTAAGCAGCAGCAATTAGTTTTTTATTATGGTGTGATTCCTTTTAATTAGCATCTCCATGTTAGTTGAGTTCACAGTAGAAGCAGAGATTAAAACCACAGAGTCACCTATCAATCTAAAAATTGATCTCTAATTGATATCCTGTTCATAAAAAAAAAATCGAAAGGTTGATTCGGGGCCTTAGAGAGCACCTTGCTTTCTGATGGCCTCTTCAGCCTATGTCTCCTGAGGAAGGGCATTATCTTCAAAAGAGGTAAACTTTAAAAGGAGAAAAGCTTGTTAACTTAGGGTCTGAAAGGAAATAAACAATATGCTTATTTTCTCAGATCTTAGTTCTTCAAATGCACCAGCTAAAACCAAGGTTAGTTTTAGCCCCTACTGAGTTTTCTGCATATTGAGGTTTTATGGGAGCACTGTTCCCATTCTGGAGGCTCTGTCAATTTAGAGCAAGTAGATTCAAGATCCAGAGATCAGTCACTGTCCCTGCAATGCCCAGAGGTGGTGATGGGTTTGAACTCAATCAAATTTTATTAATATGATCACATGAGAAATAGTTTAACTCAGTGCTGAAGAATGATTGACCACCGTTCTAGACCTGCAAGTTCTTACTCTGTCTATCATCTGTTTACCACTTGGCCATTGGTTAGTTCCATTGTCCTGGCTCGCTTTCTTCTCATCATGCTCATTACATAATGTTGCCATAAGATCTGTCCAAACCTGGAGGAGTTATGCTGGGTGTCTTGGGTACTGATTACGTTTGCAGAATACAGAGGAGGGAATTTTGAGAGAGCTCAGACGTGTTCCCTGGTGGAGGAAGGTGCTAGGCAAGGGCCCAGAGTGATCCCAGGGAAGGCAGTCCTGGGCAGACACAGCTCAGAGGTCTGGAAGGGTTTTTTTTAGCTTTACTTGGTAATTTATTGATATTTCAATAGTAACTGTAATTGTTATTCTAGTCATTAAAATGTGCTGTATTACTACTATTTATGTCAAGTTCCTCATGTCAATTATTTTGATAATGTCTTAGAATATTAATGCAACTGGCCTAAATTTTTCCATCAACTCCCTACCTAGGGAAGGTACTGGGTTCTGTAGAATATTGATCATTTCTCAAGCCACTTGCTTCAATCTAGCTTTTTTCCACTTTGGAAACCATTGCAAAATTGAGTCATTATGCATGTTTTGTGCCTTCCAGAAAAGCAAGTGGAATTGACCACTTTTAGAAATATAATATCCTATTTTACTAGACGGACTCTGGCTGTTTAGAATTTTGACAGTCTCATTCTGTTATATCCTCTGCTTATGTCTCTTGGGTACCCTGATTGAGAGAGATTCAAAGACAAAAGCCACAATTCTGAGCACTGAGAGGCAGAAGTGCATCACAGGGCAAAAAGAGAGAATTAAGCTTTCGATTTCCATGGTCGTCTGGGAGGTCCTCTGAGAAATCACAGCACAGATGTGCCGGCCTTGTTTCTGATCTCAGGTACTGCTGGCCCAGGTCACGCTTTTAAGATGCAGCAGTTCCTGAATGTTGAACACTCGATGTTTTCTCAAAAAGAAAGGTCTGGGAATTTAAAGGTTTTTGCCCAAACTGGTCCTAATTGATTGGCTGACATCAGTGAGCAGGGAAAACGTTTCTGCTTCTGATAGCAGGTGTCTTTTCTATCAAAGAAAACTTCATCCAGTTTCCCTAGGGAAGCTTTAACCTAACTTAACTAAGCCTTGAAAAGGGAGAGAAACTTGATAGTGTCTTTATTACAATGTAAGTAATAGTAAACCATGCTTTGTCGTCACCTAAGCCTACAGAAAACATGCTCTTCAGCAATTCAGACTTTGAGAGCACAGCTCAAATTTACTTTACTTTATTTATCCCACATCTACACAGCACATAAACTCGGCAGAACCAGGTTGGGTGGAAGCCCAGATGGCTACCAAAGAGGAAAGTTCTAGCTTTTTACTGCAAACCCCTTCCACTTTTTGTACCATTAGCCATGAGTCACGTTGCAAACATGCGGGAGCGGACTCCTTGGAAATGGACACCAGAAAGGAGGACAGGGATCTGCTGAGAGCAGACCGTCCTTGACAAGTCACAGCTCTTCCGTCAGTATGGTTTTCCCATTCTTAGACCTCCTTTCAGATCTTTGTGCTCAGGCAAACCTTTTCCAATTGCGCGGGCATATTCACTGTTGGAGAACCAGTGTAGGTAGGTGGAGAGAGGCCTAGGGAAGTGTAGAAACAGCAGGGTTCCTTGTGGCTCATTAAATAAGTTAACCCCCTTCCTTGCTGGAAGAGACATACATCTCTTCCCTCTAGAGAAAAGCATGAACATCACACACAACCACCTCAGCTCTATAAAACCCCAGTGGAATTTTCACTGTAAATGGGCTGGAATTTCTTACCCAAGATAGAACATACCTTTTGTGAAACTGACTCTGACAGCTGGCCAAATCTTAGACTCCCTTCTCTTAGAAACTTTTCTGGTCATTATTTTGAGGATCAAAACTTTACTGAATCCAGTTTTTCTTGTGGCAGGAGATATAATGGGGTAGAAAAATCTCTTTGCCTGTCATGTGTCAATCTGATCTTTTCTCTCAGTGATAATTAGCATAGTTTACCTTCAAAATCTTAGCTTCTATTTTTTTTCCTCTTTCTCTTTGAGACAACTTCTGTTTGCCCCATGTGATGATAAAGACAGCCGTGATTTCTCTTATTGATCTAGAAAGTTCTAGAAGAGCAAATGTGGGTAACGAAGCATATTATAGCTTTTCATCAGTGCTGTTTTTTTTCTTATTGATTGATAGAAATTTGACTTTAAGAGATGTTTTTATTTTCCAAGAGAATAATTTCCTTAAATACAAGATAGCTGAAATATTTGTTTATGTCAAGAACATGCCCATTTTGGAGGAATTCATCACACATTATAGCTACTCTTGAAGTCATTATTCATTAACCTTGTTCTGACTAGACACTGGCTCAAACAGGGTGGCTTGATAAAGATTTCTCCCAGTGCATTTCTCAAAAGCTACAAATACTAGTGCTGACTTTGTCTTCCAAACAACCTCCTGTGAGTTTGTACTTGAACCTGTATGTATTCAGGGTGTGCCCGTGTTTTTGCCAGACAGAAATACCCAGTTGTAAAGTGGGGTCTTTTTAGGCAGATTGCCTATTTCTGGAGGTTATTCTCTCTGATCTGCTATGAAGTACTATACTGAGGTTTTGCTATAAATAAATAGAAATTCTTTAACTTTTATTAATTCCCAACTGAAAAATAAAAGTGTCCTACATGTTCCTAACTCCTTCACATGACCTAATATTGAAAGTATCCCTCTGGGAGAGGAAGCTGAATGACCAGACCTCTGTTTTCACAGATGCACACACAGCCCTCTTGGTGCACATTACCTGCTGCACGCCCAGAAGAGGGTTTTAGAATGGGATTTGTCCTCGACTTATCTGCCAGGGACATCTGCAGATGTCACAGGCACAACGAACAGCTGCCGCCAGGATAAGAGCACAGAGCCCGCAGGCCCGTTCGCTCAGGCGGAGCCCTGTCGACTCAGATTCCCTCACCAAGCAGCAGGGTGTCTCAGCGTCCAGGGAGCACCCTGTCAGACCCTCTCCTGGGCCACATCCCGACATCAGCACTCCCTCCCCTGCGGAGGTTCTGGTCGCCTCTCTGGAGTGTGTCTTGCCATTATTTTCCAACCCACCAGTTCTGATAATCAGGCTTCTTTGCTGACGGGGTGTTCAGGAGGGCTCCCGGTATAGAACTTAAGTGTGTTGCCTTGTATGCTTGTGGACCTGGGTTCTCTTGCTGGGATAATGCTTTTGAAAGTGTTCTGGCCCACCACAAGCCTTGACTATGCCCACATATACTGAGCTTATCTGATTTCCAGCGTCTCCTTTTTTGGGGCCACTTGGTACCATTCTGATGAGACTTCTCTAGCATAGCTGTGTCCATTCTATATCCCCAAACAAAATAGAGTGTAAACCCCTGAGGGGGCTACATGTGTCTCTTAGGTTAGGAGGAAGCCCTGGTCTTCAGTTCTGAGATGGAGTACCCGCCGGTGCACCAGTGAACAGATGAGCCTCCCCTCCTGCCTGGCCTCACTGCCTGTTCCAGCCTTGAGTGTTCCTAGCACCCATTTCACTAAAACCCCCATAAATCAAAAGGGGCCACGTACTTGCCATTTATCAAAAGAAACAGATACTTCAAAGTTTGCAAAAACACAGGCATGCCCTGAATACGTATAGGTTCAAGTACCAGAGAAGGTGACTCACAAGAGGTTGCTTGGAAGACAAAGTCAGCACTAGTATATTTGCAGCTCTTGAGAAATGCATTGGGAGAAATCTTTATCAAGCCACCCTGTTTGAGCCAGTGTCTAGTCAGAACAAGGCTAATGAATAATGACTTCAAGAGCAGCCATAATGTGTGACATCCCTAAATAAGTGCAAGTTCTTAGAACTTCCCTATTTCCTGCATGACCTCAAAGGCCCCTGTCAGCTGTGAACATGTATGTCTTTTGTGGTTCCAGTTGAGGAGAAAATGGCAGAAACAGGCTGCAAAGATGAACAGGAATTTGCCAAGAACTACTCAGTGTGCAAACTGAGCAGATAGGACTGATTCAACACGTATGTTCAGCACCGACTCTGCACAGCCTCTGATTTAGGTGCTGAGGATAAAACAGTACCACCCTCACGGAGCCGTCCTTCTAGCCACAGCCCTGTGGTGTGAGCACTCCCAGCACCCCCGTGACACCACAGCCCTCACTGCTGCTTCTTGGAGGCTCTGTGCCCTTCACAGTCCGAAGTCAGGGGACACTGCCTGAGAAATACACTGATCAGATCCTTCCCTTCAAATATAAACCCAAATTGGCTCTAGTTCTCTATTTCTCCCTCGTGTTTGATGTCTGCATTTTAAATCATTTTGTTCTCCACTCATCTCTTTATTCTAGCACTATGTTCATTTCTAGCCAGACTGGAAATAGAATATGCATTGAAGGGCCTAATTACTTACTGAGTTATCTTTCCTTAGATTTCTATTTAGCTGGTGGGATCATTTCTAGATTTTTGGGTGTTTTATCACTTAACCCCTATTTGGCCCTATTTAGAAAAACCCTAGGAAAACACGTACTTCCTCCCTGATTTTTTCAATACTTTCATCTTAGTCTATCCAAATAGCACAAAAATAACATCAATCATAGTAAAGTTATTGTCTGAGCTCTTACTACGAACTGAGCGTGGGCAAAGCATTTGCTCTGGGTGACTTGGTCAGACCTTAGAAATCCTTTGAGGCTAGTGCTATTAGCATCGCCTTTTACAGCTTTGGCTAGTTAATCAAGAGGCCCCAGGTTACATGGTTTATACAGAAGTATCTTTCAAAGAATACCTCAAGAAGATTCTGATATGTGGCATGTTGCATTATAATTTCAAAACTCAGTTTCATTATTACATTATTTGGGTGGTTTAAATTAAAGCAAGAAATATCATACTGGATTAGAACCAGGGTTTTATCTCGTCACTGTTCTGCTATTTTTTTCACAGAGTAAGAGTATTTACTTGTGTTGTTATCTCAAAATTAGGAATGTGGTCCATACATCAAGTAAGTTAGCCCATCTGAATCTTATATGAATAAAGTATAGCACTTATCATGTACATTATAAAATATCTACATACATATTTATCATTCCTCTAAGATGTGAGCTCCATGCAGACGCAGACCACACCTTTATTCATCTCTGAAGCCTGGTGCTGGGCACACATTGGCATACAATGAATGTTCATTGAATACACAAACTTTAAAAAATGCTCCAAACATACTATTTTCCTTTATTCACTAATTATGTATTCATGGATTCACTGAAATTATCTTGGAAGCTTATATCCAACTTACACCACCTCTTAATAAGTAGCATAAATTTACTCTCTGTTGGGTAACATGGTGCTTTCTTTTGTTCATTGTGAAAATATTTCCTTCAAATTTCCTGGAGTTATAATAACAGCATAAAAAGCAGTGCCTTCCCTTCATCACGTTGTTTTTCATGGTTCCTTCATGTTTTTCAGGAAGGTGATGTCTGGCCCAACTCATCGGCTAAAATAACTGTGTACTTTAACCCCCTGGAAGCCAAGCTCTACCAACAGACAGTTTACTGTGACATTTCAGGTAAAGACTTGCTCTGTGTGGTCAACTCAGATTCCCAGGTGCCCAGAGCATAAAGTGGGGTGCCTGAGTGTGTGTGTGTGTGTGTGTGTGTGTGTGTGTGCATGTTCAGGCTATAGGCACTGTACATCAATAGAGGAATAATGGAGTCAAGCTATGAACTCACTTCTTTCTAAAACAGATCAGACTTTGAAGCACATTATCCGTGTGGTGCAGCGGGAGGATGGGAAACTGGATCTGGGCTTCCCCTTGATTTTTAGAGAAGTATGAATATTACTTGAGAAAAATTTAATTTTTTATTCTTTCTATAGTAGTTGGCTACTTAATTTTGCTCTTTTAAAATTTTATCCATATAATGCATGCCAAGGGAAGGAAGCTAGGCAGTGGGCTGGGCAGTGGCCAGAAGCCACGAGAAGGGCATGCAAGTAGGGAGGCAACCTGGTGACGTCAGGAGTTGGAATACAGATTGAAGAATTAGGCAAAAAAGTAAATATCTGGAAGATAACAAGAGGCAGTATTTTTTCATCCTTGGAGGAGGGATATGCAAATAGGAAAAGGAGGAAGGCTAGGATATGCCCTTTGGCACTAGAATGGAAATGGAGTTATCATTATGAACTCATGGTTGTTGATATGCATCGATATAGAAATAAATATATGTGTAATATGTGTAAGCATGTGTATATGTTTGTGTACATACATGTACATATTTCCTAGCTATGTTCATTGAGAGATCCTGGCCACTTTGAAAGCCTAAAAGTACACCTGTAGCCAATGCTTGGTTTCTAAATCCCACCCTCCACTAAGAGGGACCTTAGAGAATTGGCTGATTCCAGGACTGAGGCAGTGGAAGAACAAGATAAGCCTGAATCATCCTTTTGTGCTGGGAAGTAAGGAAATGCTCAAAGAATGACCGGGATATGTTAAATGACACAGAAGCCAGCAAAGGGACTCCCAGTGACCAAATTTGGAACAAGTTGAAAATCAAGATAAATAATGACACTAATAGGTTATAATCAGTTGAATACATAGGAATCTATGAATCCACTTAATAAAAACTTACCATTCGACACTCAAAGTAACAACCATTTCAGGTAAAAAGCATCAGTGGATCTTAAAACTAATGGGTGAAAGCAGGGTGTGGAACAGGATTTTATGTGGTCTCAAAATACCCTTTTCAGATATTAATTAGAAAGAGGAGACAACTAATTTTATAGTGAAAAGGCCTGGTAGATATTATCTTTGTTAATACCAGCAGTAACAGAGCAAATCAACCTCATGGACAACCCTCTAGGATGTAATGAGAACACAGCATATCTTCAATGATATTAGGGCAAAATACCTAATTGGATCCAAAATACCTTGGATCCTAATCATGAGGAGTCATCAGACTAACCAAAATTGACAAAAAAAAAAAATTGCCAGCCTGTAATCAGCAAAAACATAAAGTTCATGAAAGTCAAGAAAAGATTGGAGAACTGTTCCAGGTTGAGGGAGACTGAAAGACATGACATCTGTGACATCTGACACATGACATCTTTGCTCTAAAGGAGATCATTGAGTAATGAATGCACAGACATACTTTGTACTACTCTGGAAACTTCTGTATTTTACAAATGACTCAGAATTTTTAAAAAAATGATGCCCTTAAATAAGTAAAACATGCACATAGATTATAAAGCTAAATAGTAGTCTATTTCTCCAGTATTACTTCCAAGACACACTTTTAGCTGTCTCTTGTGGTGGTAATTTTCTTTGCTAATTTTATACTCGTGTTTGCTATTTGTTGATTTATCAACTTCACAAATTATCTTTTAAGTCCTCAATATGAAAGATGAGGATTTAGTTCACTTATATCTCCTAATCCCCTTCCTGGCCTTATTGAATTATAACTTAAACACAACGAAATTTACCCTTTTGTGTTACACAGTTCTGTGAACTTTGACAAACCTCAGCAGTCATGTAACCACCACCAAAATAAAAATATAGAATATCTCCATCATCCCATAAACTTCCCTCATACCCCTCCAGCTCAACCCCTGGCAAACCAATGTTTAAAATTATATTTATTTTATTTTATCTTTTATTTATAGCCTTAAATAATATACTTGAAACTACATATTTTTGTCCCATCAATCCTACAATATCTTTTGACATATAGGGATATTGGGACCCCTAACCTGTCTACCATCATTCCACACTATTTCTTCCTCCCATCTTTTGTGAGTTGTTCTTTTATATTATCATGATTGATAACCAATGTAAGTTTTCTATTTTGTCTATATAAATTTTTATATGCTAGAGGGCCAAATTATATTCTGGAATTACATTCTGTCCTCTGTTGGTTGAGTGTTCTGACCTTTCATCACTCAAAACTGTCAATAAGATCTATATCAAGTTGATTCTCTTTCTTTACTGTCTATCAGTTTCTCACAGTTATGCCTCATTTTGGCTTACTTCATAATTTAATTTGACTCTTCTGTACACTTTTGGGTTTTTTTCTTCCTGGGTTTTTGAATTTCTCATTTCTTCATGCCTATCTAATTTTAGAATTCATGCTCTTCTTCTTGAAGATATTTTTCTCAGAGCCCACCAACTTCTTATTCAAATTCAGATGAGTCACCTCCTGCACAGTAGTTATCCAGGAATTTTTAAATATTTTTTTTCCCATGTATGTTCCATCGTATCTTTGCACTATCACTTTGTTCAAGTAACTTCTTCAGAAAGGGTATATAGAAGGGAAACTTTGATCCTTAAATGCCTGATAATGTCTTATTCTGCCTCCATACACACTGGATAGTTTAGCTGAGTATAGAATTCTACATTCAGAATAATTTCTCCTCAGAAGTTTGAGTAATGGATGCACAGACATACTTTGTACTTTTAAGTATCTTTTAAGTCCTCAATACAGGAAGACATTGTGCCAACTGTACTGTAAAAATCCAGAAATCTGAAGGTCACATAATTCTTATTCCTTTATAGTTAGCTTATTATTTCTCTCTCAATATTTTCTAGGGTTTTCCTTTCTGTACTTGGGATCTGAAAGGTCATGAAGCTGGTTCCAGGAGTGAGTTTTTCTGTCATTCTCCTAGCTTTCTATGAACCAATTGAATCTATTACTCATGTGTCACTTCAGCTCTGGGATATTCTATTTTATTGTCTTTTAACATACTTTCCTCCATTTTTTTTCATTTTATCCTTTTGGAAATCTTACAGCCCAATGTTAGACCTATAGGATTGATCATCTGTTGTCAAAGAACAAGATTTTAATCATCAAACTGAGTAATAAATGGCATTAAATGCCATTCAAAATTATTAAATAAAGATGCCCAGAGGAATACTGATATTAGTCAAAAAATTCCAGGGTAGCAAGTATCAAGAATTTGTAGGCTTCCTTCCAATGTCTTCTAGCCCATGGTTGTACATTTGTATAGAAAAATAAGCAAATGGGTTTAATTTTCAGGGTAGCTAATGCTGCTTATCTCTGCTATCTAGTGTCTAGGTCTTCCAAGAATATGGCTGTGATGGTTATTTTAAACTTGGGGGCAGAGTAATAGAGTGCACAATCATTAATATCTTCAAGTGCAAAAATTCCCTCTTGTACTATACTCAGCATGTTTTCAGTCTGTGTCTATGCAATCACTTTTCTTTGTGTATAAAGGGGTCAGGCAGTCTAAGAATGATGCAGAAGGATGAGTTGCCTAACCCAAAACTGTGCCACCCTGCACCTACAGCCAGGTGTGGGTCCCTTCCTGATGATGTTTCCCTCACCCTGGATGTAACCATCACCTTGACTTTAATGATAGCCATATTTTTGTTTTCATGCATAATTTTACTGCCTATGTATTGATCTGTAAGCAACATAGTCTGGTTTTTGCCTGTTTTAAAAATTTATATATTGAAGTCATACTCTCTGTTTTAATGCTGTTAACACCAGGAAGATAAAGTCAAATCAATAAATATTGATTAAATGAACAAGCAAATACATTTTTTAAATGAATGAATGAGTGAATGAATCCTAGTTTGATCTGGTCTCTTCCTTGCTCATGATTGTGGATTCTCAGGACAACTCCAATATGAATGCAGAATAGACTAGGAGTTTCTGGATTGACGTACATCTATTTCCATACTTCACACCAGCATCATTTACCCCAGACTTCTTAATGGGCCTGGAAGAAATGCTGGTATCAGACACAGGCTGAAAAATGCTCCAGTGGCCCCCTGGGCCACAGGTGGTGGGACGTCCCTCCCATCTCTGACGCCCCTGGGATGTCGTGCTTGGCCATATTCCAGGGGGTTGGCTGCTCTCCAGGAGGTTCCCAAACATTGCATAACTCGTTGTATTTATCTATTGTTTCATTTGTAATTCTGTATTCTGCCAGAGAATTCACATCCTGGGTAAACTGAACAGTATAATTTTCCATCTGCATGACATTCTTCTTTATTTTGTTAGCAGTTTATTAAAAGACATGCTTGCCAGAGAAGTGTTTTGTTTACATGGTAATTCCATATTATCTTCCCTGTAAATTCCATGTAATTCTTTGTATCTTTACAAGGGCTGGTGATGATTCCTTACTATTATCTTCAGAGTTGGTAAAACCTCCTGGTTTTAGGTCACTAACAAATACTCTTTCGGCAGATAGAAAAGCCCCTTCCTTTGTTTCATTTGTTTTGCTTTGCTTTTGCTTTCCTATATACTTTGAGCATATAGAAGCAAATGCACATAGATTCACTTCCCCCTCACCTTTTTACATAAATGATAACATACCTTACACAGTGGTTCTAACATTGTTTTTTAAATATTTCTTGTGGTTATTCCATTACACTAAATAAAAAGTATCATTCTTTGTCATAGTCTTTTGTAATTGTTTGTATTTACATGCCATAATTTAATTTTTAACATTTTATCACCAAGAAATAGAACATAGTTCATAAATGTATATAAAACTTGCTGTGATAGGCAGGATAATGGCCCTCAAAGATGTCCATGTCCAAATCTCCAGACT